GTGGGGGGGGTGATGGGGGGGTGTGGGGGGGGGGTTGGGTGTGGGGTGGGAGTAGCGGTAGATGTGAGGGGGGAGGGGGTAGGGGGGGGGGGGGGGGGGGGGGGGTGGGGGGGGGGGGGGGGGGGGGGGGGGGGGGGGGGGGGGGGGGGGGGGGGGGGGGGGGGGGGGGGGGGGGGGGGGGGGGGGGGGGGGGGGGGGGGGGGGGGGGGGGGGGGGGGGGGGGGGGGGGGGGGGGGGGGGGGGGGGGGGGGGGGGGGGGGGGGGGGGGGGGGGGGGGGGGGGGGGGGGGGGGGGGGGGGGGGGGGGGGGGGGGGGGGGGGGGGGTGGGGGGTGGGGGGGGGGGGGGGGGGGTGGGGTTTTGAGGGGCGGAGTGGGTGGTAGTGTGTGGTGGGTGTGTGGAAGGTGTGAGGGGAGAGGGGAAGGTTGAGAAGGGATAGGATGCGGAGAGGAGGAGGGGGGCGGTGGGTGGTGGGGGTGGGGGTGCATGGGGGGGGTGTGTGGGGGGGGTGTGGTGGGGGTGAAGGGGGGGGTAGATGTTGGGCGTGGTGTGGGGTGGAGAGGGTGGGTAGTGGGGGGTGGAGTGTGAGAGAGAGTGAGGGTGGGGTGGGGGGCGTTTGTTGGGGGGAAGGAGTGGGAGTAGGACTGTGGGGGGGGGTAGAACGTGGGGGGGTGGGGATGGGGGGGGGGGGGGGGGGGGTTGGGGTGGGGGGGGTGTGGTAGGGGGGGGGGGGGGATGGGTGGGGGGGGTGTGGGGGGGGGGTGGGGGTGGTGGGGTGTGTGGGGTGGGTGGGGTGGGGGTGGGGGGTGGGGGGGGGGGGGGGTGGGGTGGGTGGGGGTTGGGGGGGTGTGGTTGGGGGGGTGGGGGGGGGGGGGGTGGTGGGGGGGGTGGGTGGGGGGGGGGTAGTGGGGGGGGGGGGGGGGGGGTGTTGGTGTGGGGGTGGTGGGGTGTGTGTGGGGGTGGTGGGGGGGTGGGGGGGTTGGGGGGGGGGGGGGGTGGTTGGGGGGGGGGGGGTGGGGGGTGGGGGGAGGGGGGGGGGGGGGGGTGGGGGGGGGGGGGGGGGGGGGAGTGGTGGGGTTGGGGTGGTGGGGGTGGGGGGGGGGGGGGGGGGGGTGTGGGGGGGGGGGGGGGGGGGGGGGGGTGGTGGGGTGGGGGGTGGGGGGGGGGTGGGGGTAGGGGGGTGTGGGGGGGGGAGTGGGGGGGGTGGGGGGGGGGGGGGGGTGGGAGGGGGGGGGGGGGGGGGGGGGGGTGTGGTGGGGGGGGGGGGGGGGGGTGGTGGGGGGGGGTGGGGGTGGTGTGGGGGGTGGGGGGGGGGGGGTGGTGGGGGGGTGGGTGGTGGGGGTGGGGGTGTGGGGGGTGGGGGTGGGGGGGTGGGGGTGGGGGGGTGGGGTGGGGGTGGGGGGGGGGGGGTGGGGTGGTGTGGGTGGGTGGGGGGGGGGGGGGGGTGGGGGGGGGGGGTGGTGGTGGGGGTGGTGGTGGTGGTGGTGGTGGTGGTGTGTGGTGGTGGTGGTGGTGGTGGGTGTTGGTTGTTTTGGTGGGGTGTGGGGTGGGGGGGGGGTGGTTGGGAGGGGAGGGGTGGGGTGGTGGGGGTGGGTTGTGTTTGTGGTTGGGGGGGGTGGTGGGGGGTGGGGGGTTGGGGTGGTGGGGTGGGGGGGTGGGGGGGGGGGGGGGTGTTGTGGGGTGGGGGTTTGTGGTGGGTGGGGGGTTGGTGGGGTGTGGGTGGGGGTTGGGGGGGGTGTGGGTGGGGGGTGGGGTGGGGGGTGGGTGGGGTGTGTGGTGGGGTGGGGGGGGGTGGGGGGGGGGGTGGGGTGTGGGGGGGGTGGGGGGGGGGGGGGGGGTTGGTGGGGGGGGGGGGGGGTGGGGGGGGTGGTGGGTGGGTGTTGGTGGGGGGGGGGGTGGGGGGGGGGGGGGGGTGGGTGGGGTGGGGGGGGGGGGGGGTGTGGGGGGGGTGGGGGGGGGAGGGGGGGGGTGTGGGGGGGGTAGGGGGGGGGGGGGGTGGGGGGGGGTGGGGGGGGGTGGGGGGTGGTGGGGGGGGGTGGGGGGGGGGGGGTGGGGGGGGGGGGTGGGGGGGTGGTGGGGGGGGGGGGGGGGGGTGGGGGGGGGGGGGGGGGTGGGGGGGGGGGGTGGGGGGGGGGGGTGGGGGTGGGTGGGGGGGGTGGGGTGGGGGGGGGGGGGGGGTGGGGGGGGGGGGGGGGGGGGGGGGGGGTGGGGGGGGGGGGACACGGAGGCCTGGCCAGGGCGCGGGGGGGGGGTGGAGGGGGGCGGTCTGTTTGTTTCGTTTTGTCTGTTCTCCTGTGTTCTTTGTTTTGTTTCACACGCTTTTTTACGTTTCAACAAAACCCCACCATCCCTCCCCCCTCCCCCCCCCCCCGAGGCGCTTAGTCCATCCAACACTACGGCGATTCTAGCTGTATCCGCTGACGACTGGTCACTTGACAAACTAGCAGAAACGGCCGACAAAGTTCTTGAGTGTTTCTTTCAACGCTTAGTTTGTCACGCTGTTGTCAACCCACCCGAGACTTTCTCGTCATCAGATCCCATTGAGTCCATTTGTCAGAGACTGTCCACACTTGAACTCGCCATTAAGAGAGGACGTCATCACCGCAGTCGAAGTTTTGGATCCACTTCGAGAAGCAGAAACAGACACGCTAGAAAAACTGGACAGCATATTCGCTATTATAATCGACGTTTTGCTGATGCCACTAAAAATCGTCGTCCTGGTTGCTCGCATCCGAAAGCCTTCCCCAAGGCTCAACAGGGAAACGCCCCAGCCAGCCAGTAATGGCAACGACTTCGGCTGGCCGATCTTCTAGTCGCCTGCTTTTTGTCCGTGATTCCACAACCAACCTCTCATTCTTGGTTGACACTGGAGCCGAGGTCAGCGTTCTGCCTCGTGGAATGGAAAAACGCTACCTTATTCCCACAGGACCCACTCTCCAGGCGACTAATACCACAAGAATCCAAACCTACGGTCAGAAGTTGCTTACTCTCGATCTTGGTCTTCGACGAACATTTTCTTTCGTTTTCCTGATCGCTGATGTACAACGCCCTATCATTGGTGTCGATTTGCTTACCCTATTTGGTCATATTGTCGACTTACGTAACAGGAAACTTCGTGATAGTATCATCTCCCTCACCACTCCGGAAAGAGCCACTTCGATCGCCTCGATCGGACTTCGCATGACTCTACCTACTAACACTCTGTTCACCGAGTTACTACAACAGTTCCCCGACTTGTATCTGCCGTCCAATACTTGTGCCGCACCTAAGCACGAGATTGTGCACCACATCGTTACTCGTGGACCACCGGTCACTTCTCGACCTCGCCGACTACCACCCGATAAACTCGTCAACGCCAAAGCCGAGTTTGAGCACATGCTCCACCTTGGTATCGTCCGGCCTTGTAATAGCCCATGGTCTTTACCTTTGCAAATGGTCCCCAAAATGTCTCGTGGAGATTGGCGACCTTGTGGTGATTACCGTCAGCTTAATAATGTCACCGTCCCTGACAGGTATCCGGTACCACATATTAACGACTTTTCTATTGGCCTAGACGGCAAAGCAACTTTTTCTAAGATTGACTTGGTCCGTGCATATTACCAAATTCCTGTCGCCCCTGATGACATTCCCAAGACAGCTATAACCACACCCTTCGGTCTTTTTGAATGTGTCAGTGCGCCTTTAGGACTACGAAACGCCGCACAAACATTTCAACGATTCATTGACCAGGTTCTCCGAGGACTTGATTTCGTTTTTGCTTATATCGATGACATTCTCGTGACCAGCTCTAACCACGAAGAACGTCTTTTTCATCTTAGCCAAATCTTTGAGCGTTTTGATCACTATGGTGTTACCATCAACATGGACAAATGTGTCTTTGGCCAGTCCAATGTCGATTTTCTCGGTCATCGAATCGATCGCTCCGGAATCAGTCCACTCCCGGAGAAAACAGAAGCAATCACGGATTATCCGATGCCACAGTCCTACAAAAGCCTGCGCCGTTTCCTCGGTACGGCGAATTATTACGGCCGCTTTATACCTGATTGCTCTAAACTGCTTCAACCTTTAACGGACTAGCTTAGAGGAAGGACACGAAAACTCAAACCCACAGACGAAGCAATAGACGCTTTCAACAAGAGTAAACCTGCTTTGTCTAATGTCACAGCGTTAAGCCATTTACGGACTGATGTTAATACACCTCTCATCCTTAAAACCGATGCGTCACAATCCGCAGTTGGAGCTGTTCTGCAGCAACTCATCAGTGATTATCCCGAACCACTATCCTTTTTCTCCCGTAAATTACAGCCCACACAAACTAGGTATAGTACCCTCGGAAGTGAACTTTTGGCGATCTATCTCGCCATTTAACACTTTCGACACATCCTTGAAGGTCGTTCATTTACCATTCTAACTGATCACAAGCCACCTGTTTTTGCCTTTAGGGGTTCTTCGGACCGCTTTTCTCCTCATGAAACCCGACGCCTTGCTTACATATCGCAGTTCTCTAAGGACAGCCGTCATATAGACTCCACTGACAACGTGGTAGCCGACGCAATGTCCCGTATTGGAATTCATGAACTTTCACACCGGACCTTTGAGCTAGAGGAAATCGCTGCCCATCAGGAGAGATTCTGAGTTTATGCAAATTAAATCAAACACCTCGATCAAACTTACTCTTCTGCCGCTTCTGAACTCTGAGTCCATAGTTCATTGTGTCATGTCTACGGGTAAGCCCAAACCCTACGTTCCCCAACGTTACCGCCGAGCCGTTTTCGATCATTTCCACGGGCTCTCGCACTCAGGCTTTCGAGCTACCGTTAAGTCGATCACAGATCGCTTTGTTTGGCCCAATATGCTTTCTGACATCCAACAGTGGGCAAAGCACTGTGTTACGTGTCAGCCCAGCAAGATCCATTGCCATACAATCACTGCCCCTGGCACCTTTCCATCACCGGATGCTCGCTTCAGGCATGTCCATTGGATATCTTTGGCACTTTGCCCCTTCCAACGGTTTTCAATACTTGTTGACATGTGTTGGTAGGTTTACACGTTGGCCGCATGCAGTGCCATTACGGAACGTTTCCACTGAGACAATAGTGCGAACCTTCATCGAAACGTGGATTTCCTTCCTCGGCGCACCTGCTGCTATCACGACAGACAGAGGTCCGCAGTTCACTTCTTCGTTGTTTCGTGACCTAAGTTGTTTGCTCGGTTGTTCTCACATACGCACAACCGCTCACCATCCCGCTGCCAATGGTTTGGTCGAACGCTTCCATCGCCAACTGAAAGCTTCGATTATTGCTTCTCAGTAGAGCATGCAATAGTCGGAACGTTTGCCAATAATCCTACTTGGCATACGTAACACGGTCAAGGAAGACATAGGCTGTTGCCCGGCTGAGTTGGTTTTTGGCACGCCACTTAGACTTCCTGGAGAGATGGTGTTGGATTCAAGGGTCACTATAGAAAAGGATCCCACATCCTGTGCCACACGCCTGAGAACATTTCAGCTCGGAATGCCCAACATCTCCACGACTCACGCCTCTTAACCCACAGGTCCATCCTGATCTCCGCGATTGTCGCTACGTTCTTGTGCGTATCGATACTGTTCGTAAACCTGACGCCACCCTACGAGGGTCCTTACAAGGTTATCGACCGCAAGCGCAAGCATTTTGTGTTGGACCGAAATGGCTGCAAAGACTCCGTAAGCATCGATCGTTTGAAACCCGCTTACATCGAAGCTCTTCCGTCTCAGCAATCTTCAGACGCATCTGTTCCCCTAGATGATCCATCGCCGAGCACTCCCCCTAAACAGCCTATGTGTGATCCCAGTGTCCTTTCTTCGCAACCCCCTCTGCAACCACTCACACACACACACGTACACGTTTTGGTCGTACGGTGGTTCTTCCTTCTAAATTAGCGTTTTACAATCAGTGAGGCGTACATTTCGAGCATTCGCTTGCCCACTTACGCTCTAGGGTTGGAGTCCTGTAGTGTCCATAGATTTTGCATTTATTGCGCTTTTCTCATTTCGTTTTTCTATGCGTCTTTACAGTTGTTTTAATTGACCGTTTTTCATTTACACAATTCTCGACCTCGAACGGCGCGTTCTGCTTTCCTGCGGCGGCGTGTTGCGATTGCGTTGTTGGGGTGCTTGGAAAGTCTGACCTTCGCGGAACCAACACTGGAATATCGTATCAGGGAGCGTGCAATACCAGTGGAGTTAGTCTAACCGTCACTACTGAAGGTCAGCGTGTTGACACTTTTATCTGACGTTAATTCTTTCCTACTGGTGCGGTAGTCTAAGACTAGTTTTCACCCCACTACAAGGTCTCCTCGAAGCCGCCGGTAGTGCACTGAGTACATACACAAGCTAAACAGACGCTCGGGGTACGGTTGCCCCCGTAACCCCTCGACCAATTTGTACTTACTCTCAAAACCCTCTCAAGCTCCATTCTGCGCGGAACAAGGCAGGGCGGGAGTTGATAGGAGTGCTCCGACTTGTTGATTAGTCTAAACCGAAAACACACGAAATAACCACCTGGTGCATCAAATGTATGCCCACGTTCCTTACACTAGCAGCCCTGCTATTTCAGTTACGTGAAGTAAGAGAAGAAAGGACGAAGATAAAGAGCAAAGGAAATCAATTAAAAGTGGAGTATAATACCAATGGCTAGGAAAACTAAAGAAAGGAGAATCGAAGTATGAAGATGGGAATTTGTCAGGAAAAGGGAAAGTTTTCTCTCTGCCAATCAAGATCATCTATTTGTCACTCAAACCCCTTAACCCTAGTTTCCGTGACAACATTTGCTGAAAGCAAGTTCCAGCGCTCAATGAGTCGACGCGATAACCGTGCCTCCGCGCCAACTCGATCGGACCGTGGTTTGTCCAGCTTCATACAATGCACGCGACGACCAGATAATTTACCAGGAATAAATAGCCAAGACAAATGTGGGCCAACATTTCCAGTCAAAATAAGGTAGGTTAGGGTTAGATCCCATCTAATCCTACTGTACGGCATTGAATGGATACCCAATTAAATAGGCTTTCGACCTACGTTTGTTCTCGTAACCCCTCGATCAACCTAGAACTGACACGCAACACCCTTAATAGTGCCATTTTGTACCTGACAATGCATGGTGGATAGGTCTGGACGCTATATTCCAGGTGGGGTCGCATAAAGGCTAAGAAGGTCTGCACAAACACATTAGCGGTTAAGGTCCCGAAAGAACGACGGATAAACCACAACATCCGGAACCCTTTATTAACCGCCTTCTACCAGTTTTCTCCAGAGTGTAGTGTGGAACAGTGGGCGAAACCTAGATCAACCTGATGAGTCACGTGAGGAAGTTCACTGCCATCGAGCACATAACTTGTGGAGGAATCAGACGCTCCGATACGCAGCACGGAACACTTTGCCCAGTTTATGGGCAGCAACTAAAAGACAGACCATTCGCAGAAATAATAATAAATGATGTGTCAGCTGTACGACGTGAAGGCGCTTCGCTGCCGCTCGACCACCACCAGTCGCGCGTAGGCTGAGTATACCGCGAGGACCCCCCACCTCCATGCCCAGAGTCTATCTAGATACCCTTGAAGAACCACAGGACCTCCAGCGATATCGACAAGATTCCAGAGCTTTAGGTCATCAGCAACTAAGAGCGATCGCACCTCAAACACCCTCGGCAAGTCATTCACGTAGACTGCAGACAGCAGCGGATCTAGGACAGAGCCTTGCGGAACGTTGCTAAGTACAGCTTGTCGAAACGAAAGACTGCTTCCAACACAAATTCATTGCACCAGTCCATCCAGAAAAGCTGACACCCACTGGAGATCGAGACCAGACATTCCATACGACCTCAACTTCTGTAAAAGTCGCGAATAGGGACAGTGTCAAAGGCCTTGGCGAAGTCAATGAACACCACATCCACCGCATGTCCACTGTCTACGGCTTCAGCTCAGGTCCCAATGTTGCTCGATTCTAAGCAGGTTAAAAATTTGTAAACGGTTCTTCACTATATCGCGTACTAATTTTCCGAGTAACTTAACGCCCACGCTAGTCAAGCTGACTGGCCTGTAATTAGCCGGTAGGTCTTTGTCACCGCACTTGAAAATCAGGCAGACATCAGCCTTCTTCCACTCGGTAGGTAAGAGAGAGCTACTGAGTGAATTCTGAAACACACAAGTCAGAGGGCCACTGAGTTCCACTGCCAATTCGTGCAACAATTTTGGATGAACAGAATCTGGCCCGGAAGCCTCAGTTGGGTTTACCTCCCTTAGCAACCAGAGAACTTGGGACTCAGTTTCGGAACTTTCATTCAGATAACAGTCCTCAGGAACTCTTGAAGCTAATTCTTCACATGGCGTATTTGTTTCGCGGACAAAGACGCTTGAGTACTGCTCACCAAGCATGTATGCCTTATCACAGTCGCTACAGACATAGGTCCCATCTCCTCGAAGCAATGGTGGTATGGTTGAGGTTGTACCTCAGCGCCGTTTAACGTAAGCGAAGAATTACTTGGGATTTCTTGAGGAAGTATCAGCTAAGTCCTTTTCATACTGAAGCTGGGCCAACCTAAGGCGTAGCTTGCACTCATTTCGAACCAAATGATCCTTGTCAAACGTGCTGTTCGACGGAGCTGCTCGGTATGCTTGCCAGCATCTAGACCGCTTCTGTAGCAGGCTTACTAAGTAAGCTTGCACGCTACATATCACTGCACTAAGGATGCCACCTCGCATGATGGTGAAACGTTTGCGAGAAAACCGGCAAGTTCGGAGAACAAATGAACAATTGATGCATCAACCTGAGCTACCAGTATTTCGAAACCTTTCCTCAAGCTACGCAAGTTGATAAGTACTACTTAGAGAAGTTCGGCATGACTAACCCTGGGTCGTGCGCAAGTAGAATAGGCACTGGCAGAACGGAAAAGGACCGCCGGCTGACCACCTGAGAAGTCACCAATCGGAGACCTTGCTCGCCAGCCGCAAGCCAGGCTTTTAGCTCTCTGATGGCCTCCTTTAACTTTAATCTATCCCCCAACAGAAGGTCTGGTTGCACACTAACGTTTCTACCTTTGAGCTTGAAGGCAAACCTCAGGAAGGTCCTGCGCTCTTCTGTGGTGGAGAGGACTACCCAAGGCAGACGTGGTCGATTTGGTTGACCAACCGGAACGTTCCCCAACCTGATGAACTTCCTGACAGTAACGATAGGGAAATCTGGTGGTAAAAGCCTGATCACGCAAAGTTTAAGCCAACCAAGATCATCATGCATGCTGTCGGTGGAAAAAGCGGCAGTCGATTCAGTGACGTTTCTGGAAATCACACTGCTTTAATCAGGACAGGAAAGGTCAAACGAACGATAGAGGCTTCCGCCTAACGAGCGTCCAGTTCTTGTGCCCATCAGTGAAGTGGCCCCCGGCACTTTGACGTTGGATGGTCTCTTATTTCTGCAAAGGAATGAAGCAAGAATGAGAGCAATCTTTGCACTTTCATGTGTTAGCATCAAAATACACTACATATTCCAATACTACTACAATATCTCTATAAAAATGATAGACCAGCAGTCATCTAAGCCCCTTTTGAAGGTATCTACTGTCTCAGACTCCACTAAGTCAGAAGGAAGTTTATTCCAGAAGTTAACTACTCGGTTCTTAAAAAACTTTGCCCTGATGTCCAAACGAGCTCCATGATGTTTGAACTTCAGGCGATGGCCGGGTAGATGGTCTGACATAGCCAACTCAAACAGATGGGTGGGACTAATAACACTTAGTTGTTTAATGATCTTACACGTCTCTATCAAATCCCCTCTTAATCTACGCGGTTCCAAGGAAAATACTCTCAAGCTGCTTAGAGGACCTTCGTACGACTTCTGTCGTTAATCTTCGATCATCCTGGTCGCACGTTTCTGAATCTTTTCTATACAAATGATGTCACCCCGGAGGTACGGTGCCCAGGTCTGAACACAATACTCAAGATGTGGCCTAACCACTGCTTTATATAACGGCAAGAATACTTCTGCTTTAGTGTTACTCAGCGCCCTCCTAAGACGAAATAACTCGTGTCGTGCCTTATTGGCAGCATAGCGACACTGTGCCGAAGGCTTACACTTGTTCGCTACGATAACACCTAGGTCAGTACACTGGAATGATGGAGATCACACAGAAGACTGAACTGTCATTCCGCTACCAATACTCGTCAATATTTCATATTTATTAGCATTTAGAGATAGATCCCTTATGAGTAGAAGGATTTTAGCGAGTACTTTTGTTCGTCGCAGTCAGCTGACAATTCGGATAAGTCAATTACCTATCCGAACTACCATCCGAATTGTCAGCTGACTGCGACGAACAAAAATACTCGCTAAAATCCTTCTACTCATAATTAATATAAATTCGCCCTTACGGATTCCATAAATGCTATGTCGATTCATAGCTGCCGTAAACGGGAATTCCTGTCGTCGGAAGACCAACCGCTGTCATCTGCATGGCAGGTGCCTGCGTGACAGTGGGGGATGGGTCGGGCTATATCGCAGTTAACTAACAATTCGTGGTGGTCGGCTACCGTCCTC